TACAAAATGTAAGGAGAAAAAGTCGAATTTGAAAGAGAAAATATCTTCGCCCTATTTTTTCAGGCTTGCGATCTTCAAATCTTCAACATCGATTATGTGATGCTGGTGGAAATCTCAATTTTGTGCGCAATTTTTGTGAAATTCTGCCAAATTTGAGCAGCTTTTCCTTTTTTTATAGGTAGGGTATTAGCGTGGATAGTTATTTTGAGATACTCTATTTGTTTATTAAATGGGTAGGGGATTGTAATTATTTAATGGTTAGAATTCTTTTATGGGTAGAGCAGGGTAAATATTTTCACTTTTATAGGTAGTCCTTGTTAGAACATGCGCAGCGGAAGCAAGCATACAATACATGCATCAAATACATGTAAACTAGACAATGATATAATTATGAGATTAGAAATCACTAACTTCTTGAAAACATTGCACATGTCCTCCTCAGAGCAAGAATCAAGGGCTGCAGTCTTCTGTTATGGTCCTAGTAAGACATTGGACGAAATTGCTTTGAGTGGGCAAGAACAATACAACTCTAAAAAGTGAGTTATTGGGTGAAATATGTCTTCCTTATGTAGACTCGTTTTTTAGCCAAAGAGGGATCCAAAAACGTGTAGGATTCTGCTTGTGCAAGTAGAATCAAGCAGAATCCTACTCTAACTCTACATGATGACTTTTCTCCCAAGTCACTTTTTACCCAAGTCAGTCCAGGTTTTTACTAGGTATAACAGGGACCGCAGAAATAGTAAGAGGCTACCAATTATAGAATTAATTCAAAAATTTGGATGAATTAATTCCTACTATAATTAATTGCAGTTTATTCCACTAAAAACTGCAATTGAACTTCTCAATATGAATTTCGAAAATTCACTAACACTTATTTTAACTCCCCATGTTAAGATCACAAATACCAGTTAATTAAATTAAATCACTGATAATTTAATTTAATCAACTAATTAAATCCTCTATAATTTCGCTTAAACTATTTTATGTGACAGATACAAAATTCACCGTCCGGATTTTCACATGAAAATTTATAGGCTTACATAAAGGGGTATCATCAAACTCAAAATCGAGTCATGTATTCTATCAACTAATTATTATTTCACAAATGCTATTCGTTATTGTCCAATCTATTAGGCATACACTAACTCTTAATAGAGTTGTACTTTTTGATATATCAAAATAATAAATAATTCACATTGATCATAATAATTATATCAAGATTAGGAGTATAAGCTCATTTAATGAATTATAGAAAATATTTTATATATATTCAGTACAAAAATATTTTTTCTCTACTTAGTCCGTTTAATATACACTAAGTATACTAGCACAAGAAGTCGGAGTAAAACCACTCCCATAATCAAGACAAATTATACTATAATATTGTGCTACAATCATCAAGATATTTTGCCCAATAACATCTTCGACTGTGAACATAGTTTATTAATTATGAGAACCGATAATTTAATCTTCTGTGCATGAGCTAAGACTCCATACACTAAATTGTCTACTACATAACTAAAGGACACACATGTAACAAATGATCTATTTAAGATAGTACTTTATTGAATTGAATAAATTAAATAAATAATTGTTCCATAGATAATAAAACACATTACAATGTCTAAACCGCATGGTTAATAGTATATCCCAACAATCTCCCACTTAAACTAATAACCATGCGACTACAACTCTAATACCCATTCCTTATACATGCTTGTCAAAAATCTTCTGTGGCAAGCTCTTTGTAAACGGGCCTGCCAAATTTTCCTTTGACGCAATCTTCAATACTCTTGCATCATCTCTCTGAGTTATGTCCCGAATTAAGTGATATTTACGCTCAATATGCTTACTCTTTTTATGGCTTCTTAGTTCCTTAGAGTTTGCAACTGCACCACTATTGTCACAATAAAGTACAATCGGTGCTTGAACCGAAGGAACTACATTAAGCTCTTTTAGAAAGTTTCCGAGCCAAACAACCTCTTTAGCTGCCTCAGATGCAGCCACATATTCGGCTTCCATGGTGGAATGAGAAACACATGATTACTTGATACTCCTCTAACTTATGACTCCACCTCCTAAGGTAAAAGCATATCCTAAGGTAAATTTTTTAGAATCTCTCTCTGACTGAAAATCTGAATCAGTATAGCCAATGGGTGCAAGATCACCTGGGTGATAAACCAACATATAATCCCTAGTCCTTTTCAAGTACTTGATTATATGTTTAACTGTCCAGTGTTCTCGTCCAGGGTTAGACTGAAATCTACTAACCATGCCAACAACAAATCAGATATCATGCCTAGTACATAGCATAGCATACATGAGACTCCCTACAGCAAAAGCATAAGGGACCACCTTCATCTTTTCTATCTCATCAGTCGTTTTGGGGATTGATCTTTTGACAGAGAGATTCCATGTATAAAAGGGAGAAAGACTTTCTTGGAATCTTGCATACTAAACCCGGTGAGAATAGTATCAATATAAAGTTCTTGGGATAAGCCTAATATCCTTCCTTTGCGATCTCGCATAAGCTTGATCCCAAGGATATGTGCTGCTTGTCCCAAGTCTTTCATATCAAAATGCGAGGACAACCATTCCTTTACTGAATTCAACATGCTCATATTATTTCCTATGAGCAAAATATCATCCACGTACAAAACCAAAAATGTAACTTTATATCTATTCCACTTTTTATAGACACAAGACTCATTTTCACATTGATCAAAACAAGTATTCCATGCTCTAGAAGCTTGTTTCAATCCATAAATGGATTTCTTTAATTTACACAACATGTGCTCATTGCTACTTTTTATGAAACCAACTGGTTGTGCCATGTAGATGCACTCATCAAGACTTCCATTAAGAAAAGTCGTCTTGACATCCATTTTCCAAATCTCATAATCGTAATGAGTAGTAATGGATAAGAGGCTCCTAATGGATTTAAGCATGGCTACTGGCGAAAATATTTTCTCATAATCGATCCTTTCTTTTTGAGTAAACCCTTTTGCAACAAGCTTCGCTTTAAAAGTTTGCATTTTTCCATCCACTCCTCTCTTTTTCTTATAGATCTATCAGTAGGTGGTTCTACAAGATCCCAGACTTGATTGGAGTACATGGACTCCAATTCAGATTTCATAGTAGCAACCCATTTATCAACATCTGTATTATGTAGTGCTTTGTCATAATTAAGAGATTCTGTATTAGGATCTTCAGGAATTCTATCATAAGATTTTCCCAAGAGCGCAAACCGGAGAGGTTTTTCAATAATTCTCCCAATACGACTAGTCACTACAGGTGCAGTCTGCTTTTGTTGTTGAATTACAACATCATTTTTTGGAACTGAAGCCTCAATGTTATCCTCCACACCTTGCGGTATTGGGATATCATTAACTTCTTCCTAGAGTGCATGATGTAGAAAAATTTCAGGTTGCTCAACAATCTGAGGTTGCTCAACATTACTCCCACTACTTTAGGGTAGTGAGATGTTAGAAAATTGCTCTTGTGTATTCTTCTGCCTATTGACATTTCTCCACTACGATAATGCAATGGTATGTCAATACTGACTTCCGGTAATTATTCCAGAGATGAGTCATTAGTTACCCCATTACTTAATTCCTGTAAAACTAGTTTACTTCTAGGAATATGGTTCATTAAATAGTCCTCTTCTAGAAATCTGGCATTTGTCATAAGAATTACCTTCTTTTCTTTGGGACAATAAAATAAACCGCCTTTAGTTCCTTTTGGATATCCAATAAAAATGCATACTTTTGTCCTTGATTTCAATTTATCCGCTTTCCATTTCAGCACATGTGCTGGATAACCCCAAACCCGAATGTGTCGTAAACTTGGCTTGCGCCCAGTCCACAATTCTGCTGGAGTTGAATGTACTGACTTTGAAGGAACCAAATTTAGAATGTAATTTGTTGTTTCTAAAGCATATCCCCAAAAGGAAGAAGGCAAATCGGAATAACTTAACATTGATCTAACCATTTTCATAAGGGTTCTATTTCTTCTTTCTACCATACCATTTTGTTGTGGTATTTCTGGAGCAGATAATTGAGATGTAATTCCACAATCTGATAAGTATTTAATGAATTCCGCAGAAAGGTATTCACCACCACGATCAGATCGCAATGTTTTGATATATTTATCATGTCGTTTCCATTTCCGTCTTACATTCTTTGAATTTTTTAAAGCATTCAGACTTACGACGCAACAGATAAATGTATCCATATTTTGAGTAATCATCTGTAAAAGTCACAAAATACTCAAAAACCACCTCTTGTTTGTATATGCATAGGGCCATACAAATCAGAGTGAATTAATTCTAACTTATCGCTGGCTCTATTTCCTTTTGAGGGAAAATGTCTCTTGGTTATTTTACCTTCTAAACAGGATTCGCATGTTGGCAGTGCTTCTACTTTCAATGAACTCAAAGTTCCATCAGAGACCAATCTCGAAATACTATTTACATTTATATGACCTAGACATAAGTGCCATAAATAAGTTTGGCTCAATTCAGAAATACGTTTTCTTTTATGTGGCATATTTGCTTTTTAATTCTTTTGGTTGTTGTAGCACATGAGGATATATATCAAGAATAAAAAGGTCATGTACTCTAGCAGCAGTGTAGATAAAACGTTTATTAAACTTAATAACAATAGAGTTATTAGCAAAATAAATATTATAACCAGCATCCATTATTTTCGAAACCGAAATCAAATTCCTTCTAATAGAAGGTACATAGAGAACATATTTCAAAACTAAAACTCTATCACTACTAAACAAAACTCTAATATCGCCTAATGTTAAAGCTAGTGTTGGCTCGCCATTGGCTTGAAAAATGCAAACTTCATTCTCACTTAGCCGTCGCGTTTCCTGAAACCCTTGCAAAATAGTGCAAATATGATTAGTGGCTCCTGAATGTACACACCAAAATATGGTAGAGACAGCCGCTAAACAAGTTTCAACGACATTTAAATTTGAATTACCTTGCTTATTCAACTTTGCCAGATAGGCAGGACATTATTTTTTGTGATGCCCAGGTTGCTTGCAATGATAGCACTTCCTTTAAGCCTTTTCACACCAGCCGCACCTCCAGGTGCCAAAACCTTTTGAGCCTTCTTCTTTTTCTTACCGCCTTTCAACTTAGAAACCGAAGCTTTCTCAACATCAATGCCACAACTGGAGCTTGCTATTTGATGATAGATTCTGCCGACTTGCAGCTCATTCAACAATTTCGCCAGTGACAAATCTATTTTGTTCATATTATAGTTCAAGCGAAATTGTTGAAAACTGTCAGACAGAGTCTGCAGGACCATCTCAACTTGAGATTCCTTATCAATCACAGCTCTAAGGACCTCCAGTTCATTCAAAAGACCTATCATCTTCAGAACATGGTCCCTGACGGATGATCCTAAAGTCATCTTGGTGTTCAAAAGGGCTTTCATAGTTGTCTGCTTAGCAGCACAATTTTGCTCACCGAACATCTCTTTGAGACTTTCGAGCATGTCATAAGCAGACCCCATAGACTGATGTTGATGTTGCAAAACATTCGCCATAGAGGCAAGAATGTAGAATCGCGCCATCTCATCAGCCTTGACCCATTTGTCATAGGCTTTAACCTGATCATTAGTAGTTCATCAGGTTTTTCTGGGCACTCCTCAGTAATTATAAATTTGTAACCTTCAGCAGTTAGGACAATATCAAAGTTCCTTTTTCAGTCAACATAATTTGGTCCTTCTAACTTGTTTTGGTTCAAAATTGAGATAAGTGGGTTGAATGAAGACAAGGTTAATCTGATAGATATTCACATTAAATAGATCATTAGTTATGTATTTAGAATAATAAAATTCAAAAACAGCACATTACACATATAACCATACTCATTGAATAGTTAGATTCGTTAGGGAAACTTAACTATTCATGCAAAATATATGAGTTATGTAAGATATTTATCCCATAAATTAAAACAGGATCAACTCATATGGAGAGTAAACTATTAAATTAAGATAGGTAAATATCACTTTTATAAACTGTTGTTTTCATTGAATCAACATGTAACTCAGTTGGAGAGTTAATACAAGTAATCAAATAACTAGAGGCAAAACTACAGTAATCATCTATAATGAACTTATCTGATGTGGAAGAAGACCTGTGTTAACATATAAATTCATTATATTACTGTAAAATATGATTGGAAACCATGGGAATTGAACCCTACCACCACTGTTTTCTTAAACAAAATTCCAAAAAATAGAAAAATGGCCAAAACCCCATCTAAACGACCACGAATGCCGAAAAAATATCATACATCATGAGCAAAACTGATGAGTATTGCTCACTGGGTCGTTTCCGATGAACCTACCAAATTTGAGGTCAATCGGAGTTCAACAGAATTTCAGAATTCCAAATTCATCCTATTTGTAGAATTCTGTTTTTGGGCCTTTTTTAGGATTTTGATTATTTTGGCTCGTTCAAATCACATAATATACTTATGTATATTAAATCATGATTTCAGAACTTAAAATAATATTATTATTACAGTTTTATATAAAAAAAACTATTTTCGAACAAAATTGTGAAAAAAACAAAATGTTTTTCACCCGTTCAAAACGCCACTCTTCATAATTTCGTATATTAATCCATAATTTCAGAACAAATAACATTCAAAACAGCCAAGTTTTTATTAAAACAACATTGTGATTATGGACAAAAACGCAACTAAAACATATTGTCAATATAACATCATATATATATAGTATTTAAAAACAATCACGTTTTTATTAAAAAAAACAACACTGTTATTCAACAAAAAATGCAATAAAACAGATTGTCATTAAATATAACACCACTGTTTATGCATATGTATATTAATTCATAGTTTCATAATTAAAATACTAATAAAAACAATCATGTTTATGACATAGAATAACCATACCAAATATGTATTATTAAACAATACGTTTTAATATTACTCTATTCATTATGTATTACATTATCTAGTTAGATGTAAGACGACGTCAAATACATGCGCAACGGAAGCAAGCATACAAATCAAGCGTCAAATACATATAAACTAGACAATGATACAATTACGAGATTAGAAACCACTAACCTCTTGAAATCGTTGCATGAGTCCTCCACAGAGTAAGAATCCAGGGCTGAAATCTTCTGCTATGGTCGTAGTAAGACCTTGGACGAATTTGCTTTGAACGGGCAAGAACAATACAACTCTAAAAGGTGAGTTATTGGGTGAAAAATGTCTTCCTTATGTAGACTCGTTTTTCAACCAAAAAGGGCTCCAAAAACGTGTAGGATTCTGCTTGTGCAAGTAGAATCCTACTTTAACTCTGTCGGATGACTTTTCTCCCAAGTCACTTTTTACCCAAGTCAGTTCAGATTTTTACTAGGTATAGCAGGGTACTAATTATAGTATTAATTCTAAATTTTGCATTAATTAATTTCTACTATAATTAATTACAGTTTATTCCACTAAAAATTACAATTGAACTCCTCAATATGAATTTCAAAAATTCACTAACACTTATTTTAACTCCCCATGTTAAGATCCCAAATATCAGTCAATTAAATTAAATCACTGACAATTTAATTGAATCAACTAATTAAATCATTTATAATTCCGCTTAAACTATTTCATGTGATGGATACAATATTCACCGGTCGGGTTTTTACATGAAAACTTATAAGCTTACATAAAGGGTTATCATCAAACTCAAAAACGAATCATGAATTTATCAACTAATTATTATTTCACAAATGTTATTCGTTATTATCCAATCTATCAGGCGTGCACTAACTCTGAATAGAGTTGTCCCTTTTGATAAATCAAAACAATAAGCAAATCACATTGATCATAATAATTATATCAAGATTAGGAGTATAAGCTTATTCAATGAATTCGAGAAAATATTTTATATATATTCAGTACAAAAACATCTTTTCTCTAATTGGTCCGTTCAATATACAATGAGTATACTAGCACAAGAAGTCGGAGTAAAATCACTCCCATAATCAAGATAAATTATACTATAATCTTGTGCTACAATCATCATGATATTTTGTCCAATAATATCTTCGATTGTGAACATAGTTTATTAATTATGAGAACCGATAATTTAATCTTCAGTGTATGAGATAAGACTCCATACACTAAATTGTCTACTATATAACTAAAGGACACATATGTAACAAATGATCTATTTAAAATAATACTTTATTGAATTGAATAAATTAAATAAATAATTATTCAATAGATAATAAAACACATTACTATGTCTAAACCGCATAATTAATAGTATATCCCAACAATTATTTGTTCGAAATTAATATAATAAACGTATTATAGTATAATAAATTACCATTCATTCACTACAATCCTTTATGGTAACACAAGACGACAACTCTGACTGCAAGTAAACCAATAAACTATAATAATTGTGGAGTACTTTTTCTGAGAAATATTATACAACACGTACTATTTAATACAATATTTATTTGTGTGCATCAAAACAATAGCTGCACAACACATCCATCCATCCATCCATCTATATTATTATTATTATTATTATAAAAGCACGAATGTTAGAAAATTAAATATTGAGAGACGAAAATATTCCCAACAAATTGATCGATCTTTTTGCCCTTTAAAGTTAATATTTTCGTTTTGTAGCAATTTAATGATGGATATAAATATAATTTTGGGTTAGGACTAAGTAACCTTTTTCTGTTGGGATTCAATCTATTCTAAAATATAAAATTTTCCTTCAAAGAAATAATTTCATAATTGGATAAAAGACTTCTTTATACCCATCCTAATCAGAATTTGATTTCTACTACCAAATACCAATTGCCTTTGAACTCTAAGAAATCAACCCGTTCAAACCAAAATAAAATAAGACAAAACATTTTCCCAAGCTATATTTATTATTAAATTTATAATCTAACCATAATAAGCTTGGCTTAATTGTTATTTGTTTATTTATTTTTAAAATTTAAAATGATAATGTTTTACTTCAATAAAATTAAATTATAAAAACTGAGATCAAACACCGCATGAATATAACTACGTTTAATTCAATTTTTGACATTATTGTTCATTTATTGCGATTAGTGTTGTGAACAAATGAATGATAATATATAAAATTAATATTAGAGTGAAAGAAAGTCAAAAGAATCAAATAGCTATAATACATTGCAAATGATTCAAAACCAAATTTTGATGTAAGAAATATATTTTACAAATCAAAATTTTGATTGTACAGCTTTAGGACGTCGTTTAAAACTTTGTGAGCTATTTCTGAGAAAATATGAAATAAATATTTTAGAAAAATTCAATTGCTCTATTTTCATATTGCTCTAATTTTGTCTTATAATAGTCTTTTTTGCATTAAAAAAGGGAATTGATATGTTTTTGGTAATTAAATTTATTTTATTAATCACCATAAAGAAATACATAACCATAGCTAAGCGATCACAACTTTTATCCAAATACATCTCAGCTACTCAAATAGCATCCCTGACAGAAAGCTATTGCTAAAACATAAGTTGTTGTACTGTGTTCCTAACTCCATGTGGAGCTCTAAGATTACAAATATAGGCAATTTCTATCGTAATACTATCCAGCTTCCTCTTTTGTTCAAGGGTTCGTTGGTTTCTTTCAATGCATATCGCATGCACACATTCTGAAATTGATCTTTTTATATGTTATGTAGGAATATTAGTTCTAGACTATTATGAGCAGATTATGTTCATTTTATTCTTTTTGTAATACTATTTGTAACAACTCTTTTTTATATCAAAAGGACAAAAAAGATGCCAACAATATAATAGAGTGGTGGTGCTAAATATTAGGAAGCAGAATTAGTTATTTGGGATGAAATACTTATGGGGAACCTTATATAAAATTTAACTTTTACCACAAAAAATGAATGATATCCTCTTAAATTTGTCCGAAAATAATACTTAGTCAAATATTTTCAAGTGTTGGACTATATTTGATGCAACATATTTTATTACATTGACTATTATATGTCGCATTTTCAAAAGAAATATCAATATCGACAATAAGAGTTCCAATCATAACAAACAGTCAAAGTATCATAAGGGAACAAACCCAAAAATATCGTATATAAAGAAGTATAAGGTAAGATACGATCATATTTTTTATGTATATACTATTAATACATATATAATTTGCACGTTCAGATCTGATGTCGAATTATTTTAAATTCAAGTATAATGTAAGTGTAATAACATTTGAAGATTGTTACATTTTCTTTCACATCAACTGGTGCATTCATATATATAATATTTTAGGTAAATTTAATTTTTGGTTCCTTAATATCTATAAATAATTAATTGAGAATTTACGTGAAAAGTATGAATGTCAAAATTTTAGTACTCAAAAATCAATGTGCAATTGTTATCATGCGACGCACGTTCATAGAAACTAGTACTATATTAAAAATACGAAGACACTTAGCGAAATATTGTTCTTCTTTTTTATCCTTAGAAAATAGAGTTCACACTAGACAAAATAGTTATTTAATTATTTTTTTTATAATTA